ACAAGCAATGAACATTAATTTGTGTTTAAAATATATATACATATATTAAGATGGATTTGTTTTTTTCAAGTTAAAAGACGAGTGACTCTAGAAACTATGTTATTAATAGGTTGGATTGAAGGACGAAAAAGAAATATTTCGTAATGATTATTACCTTGTTGTTTATTTAATTCAAGGTATCGATAGAAAATAGAATAGGTATAATTTTACGTCAAGACGACAGCTACAATAACATACTAGAGAAGATTAATAGTATCGTTTTCTTTAGCAATTGTGTAATCACGTACGAACGCGTGTATATTACTATGTGCGCACATAACTAATACAGTATATATATATCTTGCTTAAGATTAGATCACCAGACGAATGTTTACTAACTATATTAAAATTTTACATATATTAATCTTAGCAACTGTTCAAATGATTTAAAAAACAGTTCAGAAACTATAAACCTGGAGAAGAAAAAAAAGATTTTATCGTATTATTTTTAAATCCAGGTGTTGATTATAAACTTCTTAAAATGATTCATCATTTTATTTTTTGTTAAAAATAATTTCAGAATAAATATTTTGAAGAACTTTTCTTCACCAATACTACACAGACTTGAATCACATGTATCGACGATTGGCGCAGTGAGAAAAAAAAAAGAAAGAACATCTACGTGCTATTTGTATTTGGATTTCTACGTGCGTGGCGATAGAGTACATTCAGACGATTCTTTCATCATCATTCCTTTTTTTCTTCATGGGTAACGTACATCAACAATGTCGTGGTATAACAAATAATAGTCTTGAACTTGATCGTGTCAATGCTATTTATGAACCAAATGAAATTATTTCTGGTACTGTTTCATCGTTAAAACATACCAATGCATCTATTGTCTTAAATGGTATGATTTATTTTAAAAAACGTAAAAAAACTCATGTTGAAAAATGTCGAATAATATTTTTTACAAGTGAATATAATTTATCATTCAAATCGAATAAAAAAGAAAAATTTCAAATTCAATTAGCTGAAAATTTACCACCATCATTTACAACTATCGATACATATCCAAATATATCTTATTCAGTTAATCTTATCTATAAAAAATCTAAAGATCAAATTCAAACATCCATTCCAATACGTGTTTATCCTCGTATTTGTATTGATCGACCTTTACTATTAACACCATTATTTTTTGGTCCAGTTGAAAATTATGACACAGGAATTAAACTGGAAGTTAAACTTAATCGTGCAATTTTTACCTTGGATGATATTATACAAATTTATTATGAATTACAAAATCCAAGTCAAACTTATATACATAAAACAGAAATTAGTTTAGGAATTTATTATAATATTGAATTAAATGTTTGGCAAGAAGATGTATGTAATGGGATAGAAAATTTCAATAATATATCATCAAATAATAAATTAATACGAAATAAAGCTTTATTAAGTGTTCCAAATAAAACTTATTTACCACCAACATTTAAATTTCGATATGGAAGTGAAAAAGATCAAGCATCATTTGATTTAACAATTGAATATAAAATACAATTTAAAATTTATTTCGGTACTGAAGAAAGTTTATGGCAAGTTGATATACCAATTGTTTTATGTAATAATATAATAGAAAAAGAAGAAGAAGAAGAAGAGAAAAATAATGTTGATGAAATGAATATTAAACCGGAATTAATTTCTCAATCTGCTGATATGAATACTAATATTTGTGAATAAATTAATTGATTGTAAATAATAGTTACTTGTAAATTTCAAATAAAACGAATTCTGTTGTAGTTATTCATTTACAGATTAAGTTTTTTATTTAAATACGATATCGTATTAGTAGATGAAAAATTATCGATATTTATGAAGGTATTATTGCTTATTCAGGTACACTTATATTGAATAAGTAGTTGAATATTTATTAAATAATTATGAATACATAATTATGATTGAAAATAATAATATTTGACAAATAGTGCCAATATAATTATATGTGATCTATAGCTAAATCGAAGCTATTGGTTGTATTTGTACTTTGCAAAAAACGTTTAAGACAGAAGAAACGTCGTATCTATGCATTAGTTTGATTTTTGAATCTTTTATGCTATGTTCTCATGATATGATTTTTATCCGTGAACTATTATCACCATTGAATACTTAGGACGATATATGATTTTATCTTTGTAGTTCTTTATCAGTGTAGAGTTAAATGAATTGACATACTGATGAATGTTATCTGTACTTTTATCAACACAAAAAAATAGAAAGTACATAAGAAGTTCTTGAAGTTAATCGTTTATTAAATATGAACACTTATATAATAATGATCGACATCATGTCATAATTTCGTCGTCTATTTACAAGATTTTGTATATTATGTGCTTCAATGGCAGAAAATGAATATCTACTGAAACTTTTGTTGTTACAATTATTAATCTGTATTTTTTTCTCTATAATAAATGTTGCAAATAATTTCAATCAAAGGGGAAACAGCTGATTCGGAATCCGCTAATTATTCGAATCATTTAAAATCATATCTAATCAATAATCAGCTGTTTCTCCCTTGCGTTTACGTAACTTAAGGACCAATTATCTAAGAAAAATTCATATATTCTATTCATTTTTTTTACCGATATACTCGCAACATGAATAGGAATAATGTTTATTCAATTAGACTTCTTTAGTGACACAACAATATATTCATTTCATTATATAATTCGAACAAAATTATATAATACTACCTTGCAAAATATGGTATCATCTAGTTCACACAGTGTCAATATGCATTGATACTCTTACAAGTTATCATAGAGTTATATGAATTGATATATGAGATCTTACAAAAAATCAGACTATAAATAACATCTGATATCGTTTTAATTTGTCTTACAATTTATAATCACATTGAAGACGACACTTTACTTGAACATATTTTATTATTTGTGTTTCTCTTTTTACATTATTAATTATAGTCATACAGTTATCACAGTAAATCTTTTTTATTCACAAGAAAATGTTCCTTGGTGTGTCCGACGTATTTTGATAAAATAATGTGGGTTTTCACAATGAAGTATACCTATCTCAAATATGAAACAATTACAGACTACGACTGCATCTGCAAAAATTATGATAGTTGAACTCATTGCCCGAAGAATAGACATCTACATTTTGCTGTAGACGTTTTTCTCATGAAACATTTAGAATTCAAGTATATTAATATTCTAGGTGTACTATATCTCATCTGGGTTTCCATACTCTCGTTGTGTTTTCTTTGCATTACTCTAGATCTTTTCTATAGGACAATCGTTCGACTATCGATCTTTTTACAGCTGGTGCAGTCGTTAATTGTTTCATACTTGAGATAGGTATACTTCATTCTAAAAACTCACATAATTTCATCAAAATCTAGTTCGTTCTGTCTTTTATTTTTTACATTTCATCCATTTTACGCAACTTTATACTTTTTGCTCCTTATTCATCAAATACCATAAATATGCAACAAAAATATTTGTTAATACTTCATAAATCAAAACAAGAGCATGTATTCAAATGACTGAGTATTATTACATTTATGCAAAATTCCAAATATATAATTTCGTTTTATATTCAAACTAATCAAGCAAGCAATAACTGCTTTTTACATAGATGTCTCCCTAATAGAACGCTCCTGCAAATTTCTTCGATAATTTGCTTAATAATATGCTTTTTTAATGCAATTCATACTGGAAGAAGTGACGTATTATCTCAACAATATTCACAACTCGAAATATTTCGCATCATAAAATTAATATATTATGATTGGCTAAAGAATCGATTTGATAGAAACTGTGCACATGTAAATGTATTGACTTATAATTCTGATAAAATTCCTTGAAATTAAATTTTTCTTAGTACTTCTTTTTAAATATAAGAATCAGTTTGAAATTTAGCTAAACATTATTTTGATCATTACATTATTTAAATAAGAAAATATTTTGATATGTCGTTGATACTAGGAGTATGTTCTCTTTTAATTATAGTCATATATATTTTATCTATCAATATATCGTTAAATTATTCGATAATTTAAAAAAATATATTCTACTATTATAAAAAAATGTGATGTTTTTCTTCCTATCTATAAACTGACTGGCTTATGATGCTATTAAATGTTTGTTGGAAAAAACCCAGCTGATTACATTTTGTTTTTTTTATTCCTTTTCATATAACGGAAGGTAATAAATATATATTTATCTGACGTTTTTGCGATAGTGAATGAAGATAAAATAATTTTGTTTTTACGATTCAGACATAGTTTTACAAATAAACAAAAATGTAAATTACAAAATTCATCTGTTATATACTGATGTATTAAATTATGACTGCAATTACATCCTTGACGACAACATTGTCTGCATTACATAATACTAATTTAGAAACATTTTCTCTCGTTTGGTTGGATATATCAATACATGATTCACAAGAAAATCTTGATACTCAACGACAATTACGCACAATAATTAATCATTTAAAAACTTTTGAAGATAGTAATATTTGTGAAAACTATATTCGATCTGTACCTAATCATGATCGAATTATTATTATTGTTAGTGGCCTATCAGGTCGACGATTAGTACCTCGAATACATTATCTTCAGCAAGTATGCTCAATTTATGTGTACTGCATGGATAGGAAAACCAATGAACGATGGACGAAGAAGTTTAATAAAGTAAATTAACATAACACTTGTTTCCAGGGGTGCAGAATATGCCCTTCTGCGCGAACACGCGTTCGGGGAAATTGTTCGTTTTTACGGAAGATTCTGCACCCCTGGAATTTTCGCAGCATTACTAAAAGATTTTGATGGGTTTAGATTCAAGCTGTGATTATTAAATCAAAAGATTTAGTAGATCAAATTCAATCGGATCAGATAAAACGTATTAAAAAGAAAGCAAATGAAACTCTTTCAATAAATATATTTAATACTGAACAAGGTCAATCTACAACTGGTCTTAATGGACAATTTATTCATTCACAATTATTAATTGATTGTTTACTTCGAATGAATCCAACAACGATTGAACAAGATGAATTTGTTTCTGTATGTAAAGAAGAATATAAAGGTAATCAACATGAATTATCAATAATAAATGATTTTGAAAAAAATTATACACCATCACGTGCAATTTGGTGGTATACAAGACCATCATTTCTTTATCGTTTATTAAATAAAGCATTACGTATACAAAATATTGATTTAATTTATTTATTTCGTTTTTTTATTCGTGATTTACATCGACAATTATTAGAATATCAGTCATTAAATGTAATACGTGTTTATCGTGGACAATTAATGATAAATGATGAACTTCAAATATTAAAAGATTCAATTGGAAAATTCATTTCGATAAATTCATTTTTTTCAACAAGTCTTAATCGAGAGCTAGCCGAAGTTTTTTCTCGTGATTCTGATAATTGTGAAAGAGTTCTATTTGAAATTGATGCTAATCCACAATTAACTAATGAAAAACCATTTGCTAATATAAGTACATATAGTTATTTTCCTGATGAATCCGAAGTATTATTTATGTTAGGTTCAATATTTCGATTAGTGAATATATCATGTAATGACCATGGTCTATGGATTATTCATATGGTCTTATCAAGTGGAAATGATCATGATTTAAAACCAATATTTGAACATATGAAAAATCAACATAGTCAATATAAAACTGATCTTCTTTCATTTGGTCATGTTTTACGTGATATGGGTAAATTTGATGAAGCAGAAAATTATTATCGTCGATTACTTCATCCATTACCAACTGATAGTCAAGAATTAGGTCGATGTTATCATGCACTTGGTGTAATTAAATATGAAAAAGGTGATTATGATTCAAGTTTAAATTGGCATTCAAAAGCATTAGAAATAAAATTATATTCATTAAAATCTAATGATCCACAATTAGCCAATAGTTATAATAGTATTGGTACAATTTATGAAAGAAAAAAAGATTATACACGTGCAATTCAATCATTTCATAAATCATTAACTATTCTTAAACAAGCATTTGGTGATGATCATCCAAAAGTAGCTATATGTTTAAATAATATTGCTGGAATATATCAAATTGAAAAAAAATATAATGAAGCATTAAAATATAATCAAATAGCTTTAAATATACGAGTAAAACATCTTCCAGCTGATCATCCTGATTTAGGAGCATCACATAGTAATATAGGAATTATCTATCGATGTCTTGGTCATTATAATTTTGCAATCGAACATCATAATCAATCACTTAAAATTCATCAAAAATCACTTCCACCACAACATCCACAGATAGCATCGACATTGAATAATGTCGGTCTCGTTTATGAGGATGAAAATGAATATCATCAAGCATTAGAATATTATGAAAAAGCTGCTCTTATCTATCGTCATGCATTACCTTCCACACATCCAAATATTATTAAAACTGATCAATTTATTCAACGAGTACTATTGAAAATGAAATAAGACATTTAGCGAAGAGAGAGAGAGGTATAAGTCATAAATAGATAGTGAATTATTTTAACTATGTTGAAAAAATTTTTATTCTGAATAATTATTTTAATTTTTCATAAATTGTTACATGCAAACAATGTCAGGAATTCAAGCTTGAAAGATTAATCTATCAGCACGTAAAAACACAACGTCTTGTTCAAATGATAAAAAATATCGAGAGAAGGGTTTATAACTGAAAGATATTTTTTGTGGATAACCAAATTAAATATTTGTTCAATTTTGATATACATTAGCTCCAAACAACTCTTTTTTTTTAGAATTTTAAACATTTCTCTACTATCAGCAATTACTCACCATATCTGATATATAATATCTGATAAGAGATGTCGCTTATAGATTAATATTCACTATATATTTATTGAGGAACAAAAAATAGACATTGATTGGTTAAAAAACGAACCAGGAATATTCGTTAAACACGTGGCCCTAAAAGAAACAAATGATTATATTTTCTCATTCTTTTGTAGAAAATAAACGATTTTATTATATTCTTTAGATTTTTAAATAAAAGCCAATCGTATAATCAATAACTCACAATGAGTTTCTTATGGGATTGGTTCACAAGTATTTTATCAACTCTCGGTACACTTCATCAATTATAACCTTGAATATATCATATTCATTTATTTGATTTCATATAGGTTTACATAAGAAAAGTGGTAAACTCGTCTTTCTCGGTCTTGATAATGCTGGCAAGGTAAAAAACACGTCATTATAAAAAAACAATCAAATATTTTTCTTATTTATTAGACAACTTTGTTGCATATGCTTAAAGATGATCGACTTGCACAACATGTACCTACATTACATCCAAGTACAAAAATTTATTTAATAATTATTCTATAGAGATATATTGTTCTTTTTTGTATAGCTTCGGAAGAATTAGTTATGGGAAATATGAAATTTACAACATTTGATTTAGGTGGTCATGCTCAGGGTAAGATAATTGAATGATTAATATTAAAATAATAATAATTTTCATATCATATTTTAAAGCTCGTCGTGTATGGAAAGATTATTTTCCGGCTGTTGATTCAATTGTTTTTCTTGTTGATGCAGTTGATCGAGGTCGTTTTGCTGAAACGAAAGCTGAACTTGATGTTTGTAGATTTTAATTATGATATAAATATACTGTTTTACTTTTTCTATTTTTAGAGTTTATTAACAGATGAACAAGTAGCTAATGCACCTATTGTTGTCCTTGGAAATAAAATTGATTTACCGGGTGCTGTCAGTGAACAAGAACTTCGTTATGTACTTGGTATTTCAACAGCGACAACCGGAAAAGGCAATGTTGCACGTTCGGATATTGCTGGTCGTCCAATGGAATTATTTATGTGCAGTGTACTAAGACGTGAAGGTTATGGAGAAGCCTTCCGATGGCTATCACAATATCTGTAGACATACAATCACGATGATTTCAAATTTCTTTTCTTTTTCTTGTCTTCTATGCTTTATCTTCCTGGTCTTTATATACTCGCTCTATCTTTTGTTTCTTGTGTCTGGTTGGTTATGACGTTCATTTTAAAACTGGGCGCCGTTGAGTTAAGTATAAACAACCATACATATAGTTTTTTTTTTCTTCTTCTTAAACTTCATTTTTTTTTGCCTTTGCCATCTTATAGTTTTTTTTTTGTATAAAAAGAAGAAAAAAACAAAAAGAAAAAAATAAATGTGTTGGAAAATACCGTTATTTAAAACATTAAATTAATCAACGAAAAACAAAACATTTTTTTGTCATTATATTATTCCGAATCATTAGGTGATACATCATATTCATCATTGTCATCAATGTTAATATGTTGTTTTTCTCTATAAATCGAAAATAATGTCCATATTATTTGAGAGATCATTATAATAAATGATATGACAACAATATAATAAACAATAGAAAGAAGAATTTCAATTACAGATAACGATACAAATTGATTCATGATGATTATATAAATCACACGTTAACGGTCAATGATAAATATATTACATCATTTTGTTTTAGCGCCATATATACCTAGCCGATCGATTGTTTATTTTATATTTAATCCTACCAATACATGTAACATGAAACGAATTCATTTCGATTTTCTAACCAAACATTCAATGATTATAGCTACGAAATGTTCGATCAATTCTTTTACGTATTTATTTTGACTATAGTTTTTATTTATATTAGTTATGGATGTGATATATGGAAAGCAGCTGAATGTCCACCGGGACCATCGATAGATGATGAAGATTTAATGAAATCACATTTATATACTGAAGAACAATTACTTGCATATTGTGATTCAGGTAAAACATATGCAAATTGTATCAATGAACATTTACTTTGTTGTGATATGCGTACGGAATATTCAGCTGCATTAGCATCAATTGATGTTCAACTTAAACGTAATGCATTACGTGTTGGAAGATATTGTGCTGATATTAATGAAACAAATCCAATACAATATAAATGTCGAACAACAATAAAAACATTACCAGGTAAAAGATATCGTTCCACAACTACAGCAACACCTGTGTGTAATTTGGAAAAAGTAAGATACGGAAAAAGAAACACGCGATCTTAAATATATTTATTATAAATTAGGCTGGAACACAATGTAGTCCAATAATTGAAAATCGTGTTCGATTTGATCGTCGATGGTCGGCACAAGAAAAAGCGAAGTGGTGTAAAGATACATATGAATATCATATATGTGCATCAACATATATAACAAATTGTACATTCACATCTGTTGCAGCTGATTTTGCTCAATTAACAGTTTTTCTTGATTATATTGAAAAATCTGCTAATCGTGAATGTCCAGGTGGTCTATACGGTTGTACAGATAAATCTGATAATGATACTCGTTGTCAAGATCGAGTTAGTTATTTTCTTGAAAAAAATGCATTATCAAATCAAACAATAAGTCTAAAAGGATCCTCCTTCGAACTCTTCTTCGTATTTTTTATTGTATCTTTAACAAAGTTAAAAATATTTATTGTTGTACAATAAAACTGTTTTCTTTCCGTTTGACTTACCAAATACAATAAAAACAAAACTTGTCATAAGCTTATCTCATTAATATTATGTCTCATCTAACATAATATGAATTAATGACGAATTATCATTGTCCAGGTGAACAAAACGCTTGTTTTGCACCGTCATATTCTTTCTTTTACGTCATTCACGCACTAGAGGTTTTGTCCACACTTGTCAATAAGAAAAGATGCATACATATATATATATACACTCATAAAATACGACGAAATATCTATGTAATGTATAACGTTTACGATAGTAACAATGAGTGTCTATCAAATAATTGGCGGTACGTTTAATTTAATTTTTTGTTCATAAGAAAACATCGAAATGTATGTCCTTGAAAAAAAGGATTGATGACTCGTATGTGTCCTTGGTATTTTTGTTCTCTTCTTCTCCTATTGGACTTCTTTTTTTTCAAGAAAAAGCAAGAAAAAACGAGTGTTATTTCTTTTTGTAAAAAGAACAGGAATAACAAAAAAATAACGTTAACGGTTCGGGTGTAAGACAACTTTTTTCTTTTCCTATAATAGGAAGCGAGAACTTCACCACAAAAAGAAATTGTTTCAGCCGTTCACATTATTCTTTACCGATGAACAATATTTCCATTCTTCATCAACCACAACCAAAGAAAATACAAAATTATTTTCCATACCGTTGTGCAGCATATCAGCGGGTAAACAATTTTTTTAACACGCCATTTGTATTTATTAAAAAACAAACACATAATCTGGCTTCATATCCAGGAAAATTCTATTTGAAAAATACAACCAATATGCCGAATGTTCAAGAATATCGTCGATATAGAGATGCTCCATGCCATTCGTCGATCAAAGTAAGCAAGTTACCTTTTCTTTTTTTGACAAGTATGATTTTTATATTCTAGACATCGTTCTTCAATAATCAAAATTTAAATACTCCTTGTTATTCACGAATAATCAAACGAAGTACAAGTGAATATTCAAGATATCGAGATTCGCATGTAAGAATTTATTTATACTGTATAATATTTAATAGTACAAAATATTTAGTCTTCACGAGTAAGATCAACAAGTCAAGTTGATACATGTTTGAAATTACATTCGAAATGTCGAACATTAACTTATGATAATGAAGCTCAAGTTCGTAAAACAATGAAAATAATGTTATCTGATCATTTTTTGACTTTTTCAGCGTTCTCAAATTCCTGATGATAAAGTTTCTTGGAATGTTGATTTTCCTGATTATAAACCTGTTGAATATACTACAAGTAAAATTCTTCGTAATCCAAAAGCTGATTCATCCGATCCGTAAGTCTTTGATATTGTTTATTATTGTAAAAAAGAATATTATTCATATGATTCAGTATAGATCGAAAATAACTAAATTCAATCAACTTGATAATAAAATTGATCGACGAAGTTTTACTGGTCAATATCTTATTGATCCAATTACTCATCGACCAAGAAATCCCGTTGGAAGAACAGGAAGTATGACATAGAATTAATAATATAAATTTTATCGAAAAAAAAATCATTCATTTGGTATTTGTTATTTAAAACTTCGATTAATCTGAGTGATATCATCTTAAGATTATAACTAATCGAGATTATTTTTCTCTCTTTGATATCGGATTAAAGTTGTCATTTAAGATTCAAATTGAAACATTATCTAAGCTATGCAAAGTTAGACATAATTCTCCTATGATTTATAATTCAAATAAAGTTATGACCTGCAGCAATAGATTAATATTCTTTTATTTTAGTGACTGGTCGTGGTCGTCTATATCATTGGGGTCCTAATCATGCTGGTGATCCAGTTGTTACTCGGTACAAATAAAATTTTGAATTTTTTTGTAATATTTCTGTTTATTATTCTTAGTTGGAAACGTGATGAAAATGGTTCAGTAATACGTCGACAAATAAATGAACAAGGTCGTTTGAAACCTGTTCTTGAATTTGTTGCTATTCGACGACATGATTGTAAACAATGGGCTTTACCAGGAGTAAGATGATTTGACATATATTTCATTCGTTATAATGAGATTCCTTATTAAAAGGGTATGGTTGATCCAGGTGAACATATCTCCGAAACAGTCAGACGTGAATTTCAGGAAGAAGCATTACGTGATGGTCTTGATGAAAATTTAATAAAACGTTTATTTTCAAATGGACATAAATTATATGAATCATATGTTGATGATCCTCGAAATACGGATAATGCTTGGATGGAAACAGTAGCTATGTAAGTTTACATATTAATAAAAAAACACTTGTCTCATAAAACATTTTCAGGCATTTTCATGATGAAACAGGTCAATTAACCAGTCATATTGATTTAGATGCTGGTATGTTTCGAATCAAAAAAAAATTTATTTTATCTATATATATATTTTATGTATAGGTGATGATGCTGATAAAGTTCAATGGTGTCCTATCGATCGAACACTTGAATTATATGCATGTCATAAAGAATTTCTTAAAGCAGCTGTCGATAGACTCGATGCATATTGGTGATTCTGAGAATAAAATATCGTCTTGTGTACAATAGTTAAAATTGAGACTTTATATTTGATTAAAAGAGAAAAACACACAAAGCAAAACAAAAGCAATGACTAGTAAAAAAAGCTACACAAATTTAATCCTCATCAGTATCGGATTGATTCGATTTTTGTATTTGACTATCGCGGACAGTAGTATTTTTATCGCATTCAGCTGCTGAAAGATAACCTGATCTGTAAATATCGAAATAAATAAATTAAAAATGAATTCAATTATAAAATAACTCACTCTTGTAAAAGACTTTCAACATCACTAGCAACAAAATCATCACCTAATTTATTCGTAATTGAAATAAATGATGAAAGTAATTCACCACCACGATAAACTAATAATGCTGGACAACCATTTTTAACCTAAAAATTCTTTTTATAGACGAAAAAGATAGATAAATATATGTTTAACATACAAAATTATGACTAAGTTGTGCTTCAGATGCTTGAATTCGACAGAATTTAACATATGGATATTGTTCAGCAAGACATTGAAAACAATTATTCATTACTTTACAACCAACTGCTGACTATATGAATAAGAATTATATTAAAATTTTATATAGGAATTAAATAAAGAATTAACCTGTTCAAAAACATGAACAATAATAGTAACATTTTTATTTTCATCATCAATTGAATTTGTAAAATTTTCACGAGTCAGATCAACTTGTTTACCAAAACGAGGACTATAGATAACATTAGAATCATTTATCAAGATATAAATAAATAAAATACATACGTATTAAGTAATCGTTGTTGCATTTGGTGCATAAGTTTTGCTCGATATTCTTTGAAAAATTCGTCTTCAGCATCAAAGAATTCATCTTCAACTTTTTCTTGTGCTTCTTCTTCTTGTTTCTTCGCTTCCTCATCATCTAACTAAATCGAAAATAAAAATTAGATGATTAAGATCTTCATATAAAACCTTACATAAGATCTACATGACATTGTTAATTTCTTAATTAATGCTTTTTTTTCTTTGTCTTGTTCATCACGTTTTTCATTTTCTAATTGTTTAAATCGTCTCCAGTCTCCAATAACTCCTTTCGGTCCCGTCTAAAATAAAAAAATTTTTTTTTATGTAAATAATATTTTATTTCTTACATTCTCAGTGAAACCACTTGATGAACCTGGTGCATTTAATTCCGTTTCAGGAATAAATTTCGATGTCGATTTTCCTCGTTTACCACCACCATCATCAGAATCGTTACCGTCTATGAAATAATAATTATTATTACTTCGAATTTTTCCTAATAAATTACCTCTGTCACCTTCATCTTCAGATGAACTACAATAATTTTGTAATTTTTCCCCGAGTAATCGATCGTCTAAAGTTACCATCTTTTCAGTAAATAAAATCAAAAAAAGAATAAAAACATCATGAGAACAGTTCTCTTATTATTGGCTAATTCCTATCAACCAATCTAATTCAATTTGTCAAAATAATAAACAAAAGAGAAAACGGTCATTGTCCATGTAGAACATTTCCTTCGTTCTTTTTTTATATATTATAAAATACTCAATTCAAATGACTACACGCCGTGGAATATTTTTCAGTTCAAAATCACGTTCTGTTGATACAAATCTAATACTTACTGATAAAAATCCATCACCAACTAAAATCGAATCATCTGATATTATTAACAATGAAGATCCAAGTAGTAGTAGTAGTAGTAATAGTCAAACATCACCACCAAAATCAACAGCGACGATTGCAACTGGAATTGTAAAGAAAAAATTAATTTTAAAAAGTTCAAAACGAACATTAACAAAAACAATTTATTCAGGACCAAGAAAAATATTTAGTACAAGTTATAAAGTTTGTTAATATTGAAAATTAAATATTTTGATTGAAAATTTTTTTCGTTTCAGGCAAATAGAGCACAATTAAATCATAAAGCTTTTTTTGGTGGTGAAACCGATGAATATAATTTAGATCATAATGAAAAAACATCATCTATTCAACAAATATCAAAAAATTCGTTATTTGTTAAATCGAAAAGTACTGATAATATTCGTACAACAACAACGACAATTATTGAAAATGGAAGAACTAAAGTTGTTTGTCCACGAGATCAAAAAAAAGTAATTCTAATGAAATCTATTCAGTTATATATATGTTGTTTTTTGATTAAAGATGTATACAGTTGTACCAAATATTCGACAGCCAACAACATGTGAAGAACTTGGAGAAACTCAATCTTATATTGATGATATGGACTTTTTCTTAGCTGGATTTCAAGCTGATAAATTACTTTCCAGTCGATGTCTTAGGTAAACATATTTAATTGAATTCAAAAAAAAAGAGAGAAATGTTATTTTTAGTGCGGTAAAATTTGCTGAATTATGTGCTAAACCATCATTTCGTATGCATTTACGTACAGAAAGTGCACTTGTACGTGTACTTGATATATTAAAAGATGCTCCTGAATTACCAGTATGTTTTTTTCTATTTTAATTAATATTTAATAATAAATTTCACTTTTTTTTTCTTAGAGCTTAAATTTATGTACAGCCTTTATTTTATATGTTCTATCATCGGATACATTAACCTCAGGAATAAATCCTAGTACAGTACGTTTAATGATTGAATTAGTACAGAAAAGTTCATCGAAAAATAATAATGATGATGAAGAATACAAAAAAATGAAACAACGTATCATGGTGATTATAAATCAATCATCACAAGATGATATTTTCTATGAACAACGATTGAATGTAAGAAAATATTGAAAAGAAAAACAAATTTTATTCTTATATTTTTAGACATGTGATATTATTCTTGAAACATTTGTTAATATATCTCGTAATAATTTAAAAGAATGGTTAAGAAATGAAGCACGTACATTGAATGGTTATGATATAATGATTGATTCTAGTAAGAAAAATAATTCTCGAAAGAGTTTTTTATTCTATTAAAAATTTTAGTTAGTTCAATTGTACAAGATTTATCAAATAATGATTTTGAATGTTATACATTAGACCAAATATTAATACGTTATCGTAAGGTGTGTCGATATATAAATATGTTAGAAGATTTTTGTAGTGATAATTCTGAACAAACATCCTCATCATCGAATAAAGATATTAATCGTATATATATTGCTCAATATAGTCAATATTTATTATTCCATTCATTATCGAAGTAAATTTTTAAAATTTCTTGTTCTTAATTCGAAATAATATTTCTTTTTTAGATTACTTGATCTTTCACTTGTTTGGTTTAAACAATATTCATCAACGAATGATAATAATAGTAATGAGAATAAGACAACTACAGCATCTAGTGTAAAAACAGATAATACAGATGAAATCAAAACTTCAAATCCACGCGATATATTTCGTGATGGATGTAAGACGATTATGTCAATACTTGTTATACTTACGAATGATTGTGGTTAGTAAATATTTTATAAGAACGCTTTTGTCTTATCAGATTTTATTTGTTTCTAGAAGTACATTGTGATCATTTAACAACTGACGATCGATTTTTTTCCAATTTATTTCGTCTTCTTGTCAGCATCGAACAAAGTTCATTAACGAATGAAGATAAATTCGATGCACTTGCTTTGGTTTGTTTTCTTATAAACAATATTGTATTATATTTTTCTCTTTTCTTTTTTAGACTCTTAATTTACTAATTAATCTAGTACAAAATACAAAACATGTTTATAAACATTTAATGGAAGATAATATGCCCGGTGGAAGTTCAAAGAAAATTTATGAATATCTTGCTGATGTAAATTTTAATTTTATTTCGAAATAGAAACAAAAATTCTTTTTTTTCTAGTTATTTTGTGAACAAGAAGATTTAGCAGCTAAAGCTGAATCACAAGAAGAAAATGATTGGATGATGGAAGATGGTGAAGATGATTTAGATCAACGTTTAGGTATTCAAAATCCTAAGAATGCTAATAATGAAAATGGCGCAAATTTTAATCGTGCTTTACAAAAAGCAGCTGGACATATGGAAAACACATTTGTTGCTGCGTTTACTGGTGTTGTACTAGGTGTTATTTTACTACGTGATTGTGCTACTTATGCATCACAAATTCAAGCATTAATGCCACAAAAAAAATTTGATACCATGGCGTTTATATTAAAGAAATTTTTCATTTTTATGCAAATGTCGGTATGTTAAATTTTAAGTTGTTTTTGTTTTCTAACAAAAAAAACTATTCGAATTTTTCTTTTATCTCTAGCATGCGTTTACACCATCTGGTGTGAAAATTCTCGACGAAATTACATCTTTGGTCTTATCATTATGTGGATAATATGCAGATAAATTTTTTTTGTCTTCTTCTGATGTTCTGTTTGTATATATACATAGAGAGAGAGAGATTATACTTTCAAGTAGTGAGCAGAACTCTATCTCTATTTGTATGTAATTCTATCCTTTCTTTTTCTATACTCTACACAAATATTAATATTCTTGATGATTGTATTTTATATTCTATATCTATACATGTATTGATGGTATTTCTAATGAATGAAAATGAAAGATTGATATATAAAGAAAAAACGAATTTATTATTTTGATATGATGTTTGATGTAGAAGAAAATAAAGATGATTCCATTTGATCCCATAAAGCGAGTTTTGATGCTTTGATAGATTTTGTTTTACTTGGTGTTAATGAGTGAGTATCGGTGAATATTCTAAATACAAGATAATTTTTTTAAATTAAAGTTTAATTAGAATATTTCAAGAATAAGTAGGTAGTATTGATTTAACGTAGTAAAAAAAACTTCACCTATCTGATTCTTGTGTAGCAGTTTCAACTGTAAAATGTGATTCAGAAGAATCATTTGATTGTAAATCTTCTACATGTATTTGATCCATTTTCGAATGGGATAATGATTGTTTTGTATTTGATTTTAAATCTATTGATGATTCTTTCTTTTTATGATGAATATAGATAATAAATATAAGTATAGATATTATCGTAAGAATTCCTAGAAGTCCAAGAATAAGAAATAATGATCCGTTCTGTTTTATTTCGGAGTGAACATTTGTTAAATTCGTTTCTACTGTTGTAGTAGTAGAAGAAGTAGCAAAAACTAGATAACAAAAATTAGAATTAAGTATAGTAATATTAGAATTATTCACTAGCTGTTGATAATGGCCAAAGTATTGTTAATGGTGGTGCTAGGTTATTAATTACAATATCTTTCATTGTTGTTGTTGTTGTTTTTATTGAGGATACTGTGGTAGTTGTTGTTATTGTTGTGAATAAAAAAGGCAAAATAGATTGATTACGAAATCTGTCTGATTCTCCTGGAAATGAATTTATTTATATATAGAAAATTGATTTCTTTCGTTTTCTTATCACCTACCAATAATTTCACAAAGAATTGGTTGTCTACTATTAGGTAAAAGAGAAACAAGACATGCATCATCTGAATCACTCCATCGTTTTAATGCTTGAAAAGTTATATCTATTTCTTCATCTTGTTCCCATGCAGGCTCACCTTGAGATATAACGATTGTATTCCAATATTTTTCTTTACACCACATTTGACTAGTACTTGTATATATTTTATCAGTCGTATTTGCCCAATGATAGATCCACGCTATATAATAATAAATACTGTGATCAATTAATTATTATATCAGTCTACTTTTATTTGAAGTTCTTCGCCCTTGACTACCGATAAATGCCATTGCACTAGATAATAATATACCATTACTATTATTAATTACTTCTATTTCCATTTGCTCATCTGTTAATATTTGATGAATAGTTTTTTGAATAAAATTAAATTCATTGAGATTATTTAATTCAAGTAATCGAGTCGGTTTATCAATATAACTAGACATTCGTCGACAGAATTTATCAGCATTTGACCAATTCATCTTTTCATTTTTTTCATAATAAATACAAAATACAACTAAATAAGAATTGATAAATAAAATATATTATTTTGAAATATAAATTCTTACAAAGATTTATCCAATTTGTCGGACATGGAATACAATGTTTATCATGTCCAGCCCAGAATTCATTCGAAGGACATAAACAATGATTAAAACGACATTGAAAACCTTTTGATGAACAAGTATTATCATTTATACAAGGTTCATTAAAACAATAAACAGCTATAATTAATCATATCATTATATTTTTATCAGCAGTATATCATACTTAATATGATCAGAAATAAATGGAAGATATGAAGATGATTGCACAAATAGAAGAAGAACATCTATTTTACATAGTAGTCTTCTTTTCAAGGCGCCTAATATTATTTAATACCTATGGTTTTTACTAGTAAATTATTTGTTAGTATTTATCGACTAATTGAATAGTTTTGATTTCAAATAATATTTTAGGAATTGAATTAGACTTATGGTTTGAGATAAATTCTATAAATGTCAAGCAGATTTTACAGTATTTGTAAAAGATCATATCTTTCTTTTACGTGAACAAATTGAATAAAATAAATAAATATCAAGGTATTAATAACGATTTTTTTTCTTCAATTGTAATGTAACATTTTAATAATATTTATCATAAAACTACATCACCATTTTCAAACTATATAATTCTAATAAAACACTCTCTCGCCCATTACCTCCATATCTTTATAGTAATAATTCTGTTTATCAACTAGAACGTGAATATATTTTTCGAAACAATTGGATTTATATATCGTAGTCCTTTGACAAATGAATTAATTGCTTTTCATAATGTTTGTTCTCATCGAGCCGGCTCAATTGTACCAATAAATTCGAATAATTATAGTTAAAAGCAACATCACATTTTGATTATAAATTTTAAGGAGAAGAAAAAACATCAGTTAATACACTGTTATATGATTTATTAAATGATATGATGTCTTTTCTTCTTAATAAATATCTTCATTTGAACAGTCAATATCATTTAATTAATTGGAATTGGAAAACTTATGTTGAAAATTATCAAGAAGGATATCATATTCATGATGTACATCCAGAACTTAATAAAGCTATTCAATCAAAACAATATTTAGTTACAAATACAAAATAAAACATATTCAATTCATTATGCTCCTTCACGTAATACAGAAAATGATCAAGAAAATTTCTTTGGCTTTATACTTATCCTAATTTAGCAATTAATTTATATGAAAAAGGTTATAGTATTGAACATATTCTTCCAATTGATAAAGATCGAACAATGATATCTTATGATTTTTTTATACGTTCAACTTCTGATGAATCAAATATGAAACATCGAATTGTAGAAGCTAAACAAGCGATGATTAGAACATTGGAAATTACAAATGAGGATAAGATGATTTGTGAACAGGTACAAATTAATCTTGATGCTGGTATATATACACTAGAATATCTGTCACACCAACGAAAGAAAATGGTGTTGAGTTTTTTCAGAATAAAATTCGAAATGAATTAAAAGATACAAAATTACTATTGCAATAATATTCAAGTTTTATTTATATGCTTTGTATTATTTCATGATTTTATTTTTAATAAAACCATTTAGATGATGAAAACACGCGTGAATGATTATATGCACTATTGCTACCAGCTGGAGTGACACAAAAAAGGTTCTGATCGAAGTTTTATTATTAAGCTACTAGTCGAATAGTGATCAAAGAGCATAGAAAGGTAGAGTGAAACACGCTCTATCTATTGGTAAAAAAAAGAAATTTTTTTATATCCCTGGTAAAGGAAAAAGAATACCTCTCTCATCACTTTTGGTATGCCCTAAGTAGTATCTTGTATATAAAAGTCTTCTAATATAGATAATTTTAATTGTTTATTTGTACTCATATCAGAATGAAACTTTATTGGAATAGGCGTGCCATTCATCATACCAAAATCATGAGTACTCGAGCTATAGATAATCGTATAGTGTTTCTTTCATTTTTACCATATTTATTTATTTTAATTTGATCAAATAAAATAAATTATGATCTTTTACTGAAGAATAAGTTTTACTCCATATGTCATTAAATCTCTGACGGTTTATTGACATACTCCGTCTTATTCTAAACATGACAGTACGTACAATAAAGAGCATTGAACAGGATAAACATTTCGACAAAGAGAAGAATGATCAAATGAATAAGACGACTAATGAAAAAACGTTAGAGAACAAGAACAATGCCATCACCCATCCGTCCGTCATAGTCTGATATGATAACCTCAATATTCATTCGTCATTATTCTCACAAAGACAATAACAAAATTTAGGTATATGTATATATATATATATGAATTGACATAAATGAATAAAATAACGGCATGAACATGAATATTCCGAATAATAATCATTCAAATATATTCAATTTGCCCAACGAAATATTATTTATTATTGTCAAGAAATTAAATATTAGTGATGTGATTTATTCACTTATGGATATTAATGAACGATTTGTTCAATTACTATTTGATCCTTTTTATATTCAAAATCTTAATCTTACGCTTATGACTATGAAGTCATTTTATCAACGTACATTTTCTTTACATAAACAAGTTCTGTCAAATATTTGTAGAAACATTTTACCAAAAATTCATGATCAAGTTAAACAACTTGTTATTGAACAACATTCGATAGAACGTATCCTTACTCACAATTATTCTCAACTTTATTCATTGTCACTTGTTAATTTTGAAGAAGAAATACTCTTTCGATATCTAACAGGTAGATTTTATTTTTAATATTTTTATTAATGAAATCAATTTTTATTCTAAGATTATTCAGCTCTTCGTGATCTTCTTAGACATCAAATCACACATCTAAATGTTGATATTCAGAGTGATGAAATACCAAAATTATTATCTGAAATTTCATCACATATATTTACATTGATTTTGTTTCGATGTCGACGATTAATCAAGTTGAATTTTTGTCAAGTATTTTCGTATCGAAACTCATTTATTTCGATTTATAATTTACCCAAAACAAGTTGTACATGTTCAACTTTAATCGAATTAAAAATAAATGTTGCATCGTTTAATGATTGTCTTTTTCTTCTTGATGGACTTTTCGATTCCTTAACAAAACTAACTATTAATGTGAAGAAAATCAAATATGAACTTAAAACAAATAACAAGGTAAATTTGGAATATTGTTTTGAGAAAAAAGATTAAACTAATTAAATATTTTTCTTTCTAGACAAAACTTCCCAAGTTGAAATACTTTTCATTAGCTTCAATTAATTTGACGCGTGATTTTGATGAGTACATTATTCCATTACTTCGTCGAATGATAAATCTTGAAGAACTAACATTATTTCTAACAGTGATAAGGACTGACTCAACTTTTATTGATGGTACTGAATTATATGATGAAGTACTTGTTCACATGTCACAGCTGAGCAAATTTGTTTTCAGTATCAATACAGGTGTTTTTATTGTGAATAATGAAATAGATGAACCATTAAATGAAGACATTCAAAATAGTTTCATTGGAAAAGAATATGGACGAGTTGGTTCATATGTACATTTTGAACCAAGAAAGCCAACAAATAGAATCATCGATTTCGAAGAAGCAAAGGCTGTGGTCAAATCTCATATATACTCACTTCCATATCAATTCAAAAGTTTTCTTCATCTCAACAATTCTTTTCAAGGTGGCATGTTTGTTAATGTTGGATGCTTAACAATGACTGATTCATTTCCTTTTGAACATGAATTTTTCAAAACTATTTCTGTTAGTTTTCCTTTTATAAAAAACTTGACGATATGCAATTTGGAACCACAAAAAAAGAAGCAACATTCTTCGACATTGATTAGTTTTCCTCATCTTAATCTTCTCAATCTTATTGACGCACATGATGATTATGCTGAACAGTTTCTTGTCGATACGAAGACTCATTTACCTTGTTTGTTGGAGCTCTGTATCACATATGAATCACTCGAAATTGTAACAAGCAACTTCACAAATGATGCAACACGACTTTATTGTTCTAAACTAAAAGGACTTCATACAGATAAGCCGTTTGTTCGACCAGAGCATTTTGATGAATATTTTCGTTTATTATTGAACATATCGAAATTTTGTCGGAATTTTTTTCTTGAATAAAAGAAAATACTTGTTGAAAGTGAAATGTATTTGAATCTGCTAAAGCAAAATTATTATAATAAGAAAATAAAATATGTTTTGATTTCTTCTATACTTGAAGAAAAATAATTTGATTATTCTTTTGTTATAATTTTCAGTTATTTCTCTAGAGTTTAAAAAATAATCGAAACATGAATAATATCATTTTTTAGTAAGAATTATAGCGTTATTCTTTTTTATTTTAGTAGAAAATAATAAAATTTGTTCTCAGGCAAGAAACTATTTGACTGTAAGAGAAGTAATCTTCCACTCTAAATGATTCAGAGCTGGGCTAATCCCAGCTTTGACTTAGAATTGAGTTGCATTTTTCTATAGACTAAGAGCATTATCATCTTGTTTACATATTTTATCAGCTTTTGTTATTGTCGTATGGACATATGAACGTTTTACTTATATGTAACAGTAAATTATAGTTTATTTACAAATCATCCATTTGTTAAAAGATATAAATTTTATTTTATGACATTATTATTAGTTTATTTTACATTTTTTTTAAAGACTAAATCCATCAATAGGTTTATTACAATGGAATCCATGTTTATGGTTTATTACAATGGAGTTGTTCGATGCGATCTATTTGTTCATTTGTTTGTTAAATAATTCCAATATTTTATTGTTTAGCATTTGTAGCCGACGTTGATACATATTTGATTCAAAAATATAGCCGTCGATTTTTTCTGTATTGTCTTTTGATTTTGGCTCTAGCATTTGCAAAAATTGTTGATTTTTTGCGTTCCGAAGTTTGAATTCTTGTGAATGATACAATTTTATGAGTTCATACATCTAAATATGAAAATAATATAATGTAACATATTAAAATTTTGTTTTATTACGTTGTCTTCACATTCTTCTAATTCTTTCATAAATTTTCCTCCATTATCTCTGTCATAATCAGGAGTCGGTTTTTGTTCCTCCTCACTTTCATTATTATTCGATGATGCACCAGATATTATTTCTGTTAGTGTCCATGTAGATGAATCTGTTGTGTGATTAGCATGATTTGACTCTTAATTGGAAAAAAATAATTTTATTTTAATATGAAAATAATTTAAAAATAAAATGTACAAACCTGCCATTTTAGTGTACGTGTACGAAAGCTGTATTTCCAATATAATTGAACTGAAAAATAAAAAAAAAATTTATTTATATAGTCTCTCCAGATCCCTAATAATGTAATCTCTATCTATTGATTTCACTGTTAAACATATATCATTTCATTGTTAAACATATATCATTTTATTGTTAAAGATATATCATTCTATATAGAATAATATATATTTAACAACGGAACGATGTATGTTTAACAATGGAACGATATATGTTTAATAATAAAATGATATATATCTAACAATACAATGAAATCTTTATTATCGATTATGCGGTCATTCTGACGTCATCGCTTTTTCTTTCTTTCATTCTTTTAGATCGAGGAATAGGATAGATTAGATTGGTTTATATAATATACCTACGACGTTTCTTTTATTCTTCTTTCGATTTTCTATATCACAAGCTCGGAGACGCTCATCTAACGGACTACATATATCCTAGTTTTCCTCTAGTACATATATGTTAAAATAAGATCGATTCACTAGTTTCACCAAAAAAACGAAAAATCTTGTTATTTAAATAAAAAAAATTAAATTAATACCTCAAGTTGACTTTTTTCAGTATCAGTTTGATACAAGGCTAATGGAAGAGAAATAATTGAAACAAGTGGCCATGGAAAACGATCAGGAAATGATTGACCACGAAGTTCAATAACACGTAATTGAAATTTACCATTAAAATCATTTATTCCTAATAACCAATAACTTCCTAGATTATTCTTTTCAGCCTAAAATAAATAAATATATTTTTTGTTAAATATTTCTAAACTGAAACAAACTTCTTGTTTAAGATTTGATAT